TCTCTGGACTGCACACTCCCAAGCCTTCCACAGCCTCGCAGGTCTCACCAACGCCCACCTGTGGCCTCACACACCTCAAAGAGGCCGGCGTTGGCATCAAAACAGCTGGGATAGAGGATGGCGTCCTCCCGCTGGTGGAAGCGGGCTATCTTTGCTTCTAGATCCTTGTGGATGCTCTGAAGTGAGTGAAACAGGTGTTAATGCCTTCTGGGCCACTTGGGACAAGTCCTGGGGACAGAGGCTCACAAGGCCACAAACAGATCCTCCTCCTACTTTTTGCACCACAAGGTTCACCCAGAGCCAACAAGAGTCTGGCACATGGTTCCCACTGAGGAACCATTTTATAATGGGGGTTTGATGGTAGAATTATGGGTGCTAATGGCAAAGGAAGATGTGTCTCCCCGATATCAAACTGAGTGCCTTTGTTGCTTAATGGCAAAAAAAAGGATTACATAAGTAACTCTAGGTTCATTTGGGCCTCCATTTCTCAGATTTGAAAGCTGTCCAGTCTAAAGTGCCCTGGATGGGAGTCAAGAGTTCCATTCATTTCACCTTCACCTTTCTGAAAGGACAAGTAATAATAATCACAAGGACTCAGAAGCACTGACTCTTGAGCTAGGCCATCTGGGTTCAAATCCCACCACAACAGGCTGTGTGGCCCTGGGCAAGTCAATTAATTTCTCTGGGACTCAGTGTCCTCACCTCTATAACAGGAGCAAAAACAGCACTTATCACTTAGGATTATTATACGCATTAATGAGTTAATATTTGTAATGTTCTTAAAATAGCACCTGACTCATAGCAAGCACTGTAAGTTTCATGTTTATAAAAGTTCATTTTGTAACATTTACAAAATAAAGTTAATAACCAACATTTATTGAGCACTATGTGCCAGGCACTGTTCTAAGCATTTTTACATGTATTAACTCTTTAATTTGGGATAATTTTGTTAAGTAAAATTATCCCCACTTTACCAGTGAAGGCACTGAGGCACAGAGAAGTTGAGACACTTGCCCACAGTACCAGAACCAACAAATGGTGCTGGGAACTGAGATCAGGCAGAATAGCTCCGGAAACCTTAATCTCAATCCCTGCCTCCCCTTCTTCCTTTCCCAAAGAGGAACAGGTGTAAGGAGCTCTGTTTTGCAGGTGGGGAAATGGATGTTCAGAGAGGGAATGTTTCTTGCCCAAGGCTTCACAGCAAAACAGAAGCCTGAACCCAGCCTTTCTAGTGGACAACTCTAGTGGGATGAGCTGAGCTGCCTAAACTGGCCCTGCTAATGGCAGAAGCAGACATCTGGAGTCAGCACCCAACGCTGGGGACCACCCCCCTTCCTTCCCCGCCCATCCCCGGCCTGGGCAACACCTACTGTGTACCTGGGTGCCACAGATGAAGCGGACAGAGCTAAGGCCAGCTCCAAACTCCTCCAGGGCCTGCAGACCTGCCTGGATGACCTCGGGGTGGCTGCTCAGGCCCAAGTAGTTGTTGGCACAGAAGTTAAGGATTCCTGAGGTGGAGGACGGGGGAACGGACACAGCAGCTCAGGGCCAAGAAGGGCCTGGAAAGGTGTCAGTACCAGGCCCTAGGGACTCAGAGAGGACACGAACCTGGATTCAACCCTTGAGGAGGCAACAACCACACAGTATAGTCTGTTCTGGGGCAGAGGCCAGGATGGGGAGCTGGGAGCCCCTTGGAAGCACCAAATCCAACAGCTACAGGAGAGGGAGGGTTAGAAAAGGACTCTCAGAGCTACACCTTGAAGGATGAGAAGTTTAAACTCTGGCTTTGGATCACATTCACCCAGGGGAACCAGCCCTTCCTCACTGGCTTCTTCTGTCCCTGAAGACCACCAGCGAACCCTCATCTGGGCCTTGGTTTCCTCGTGGGTAAAAGAAGAGGGCTGCGTCAGACGCCTGCCTTGGTTCCCAAACTCTACACAGTTGACTTTGCTGCCTGGTACAGAACTGCATGCCCAGCAGGGCTGCCTCTGAGACCTTGACCCTTGAATTATAAAGCCCAAGTGAACACAGGTGACCCGGGGAGGAAACTAAGGCTTCAAGAGGGCAGGGTTTACTCAGCTTGGGAGAGGCAAAAACACGATGAGAACCTAGGTCTCCTAATTTTCCATTTTTTGCCCTACTCCAAGCTTCCCTGGGGAAAGGTAGAGAATTCCTAGGGCCTCTGTTTTTCAAATGAGCACAACAGCCCCAAGGATTCCATGCCCATTTCCTTGGCAGAAGGCAGTTTGGGGGGACTGTTTGTAACCAGCACCCACCTGGGGTCTGGCACAGACAAGATGGGCAGTGACCACTGATGACACAGAAACCAGGGAGGCCTGGTGGCCAATTCATGCTGAGACTTCTGCAACAGCCCTTGAGCCCCTTTTGCTCCCTGTGATTTTGACCAGGAAGTTGGTCTCTATGGCCATTTAGCTGACCTTCCAGCTCCAACATGACCTAGACCAAAGCCCAGCTCTGCCTGCAGCTGGCTGGGGGCTTTTAGGCAAAGCCACTTCACATCTCTGAGCATCAGCTTCTTCGTCTGGAAACGGGATTAGTCATTCCCACGTTCTGACGTTTGCAGGAGTCCACGTGAAGCCATTAGTAGAAGCCTGAACAAAGCAGCAGCTCCAGAAATGCGGGGTTTCTTGTTGCCACCTTCCTACCACGCTTCCTTGAGCGGTACGGTGGGAGCCAGCTGTCTCTCTTTGTTTCTCACGTTTTCATAGGGTTGGATCGATCCGGCCCTGCCCTCTAAGCCAGAAAGGTGCTCAAAGGGCAAATTACCTGCCTCCGTGGAAACTGGTCTAACCAGGTTAGAGTCAACTGTGGGAAGCGCGAAGTCTGCCTGATAGACTGGAAAGGGTCCAGCGGCTACGTGTGCGCTCCCGCCCGCCCACTGCCTCCAAGACCTCGCATTTCAGCGAAAGCCTCAGAACGGGCCTCGAACACCCGGCCAGGTCTGAGGATTCCGAGGAGGGGGAGTTACCTCCGGAGATGCCGTCCACGTGGATGCGCGGCCCCTGACGGGACGTGATGACCCGCTCGCTTTTCCAGGTGCCAGCTCCGCGGATGCCTTCCAGTTCCTCCTCCAGGATGCCACGCAGCTGAGCCAGCGCTGACTGCGCGCGGTGGCCGCGGGGGTCCCCGGAGAGCACAGCGCGGAGGACGCGGCCAGCCCACATCATGCCCACCTCGCCTGCCCGCTGCCGGCCTTGCGCACTGCGGCCGCGGCCTGATCACGTGGCGGGGGCCGGGCTCCGGCAGCCAATAGGAGTGAGAGGGGCTCAGCTACGGGGCAGGGGAGGCGGACCCCAGGATAGGCGGGCGGGGCCTGGCGGGATCTGCAGAGGACTAAAGTGGATTGATTTGTAAGTTGAGACTGGAGCTGTCCGTGTGGGGGGAGGGGAGGCGACGGGGGTTGGAAGGCAAGTCAGGGCCGGGCCCACCAGACCCCCCACTCCATTCCCATGCCCTGCCTCCACACCCACCTCTCGGAAGGTTAGGGGATGCCCTCTGGACGCCGGAAGCAGACACCTAGAAGCAGGCTGAGGCATATTCCGTGCGCTCCAGCCCTAGCGTTTCCCGGGTTCTGTCGAGCTCTTGGAACCTTCCCCGGTTCTCAGGTGCAAATCGTCCCCCGATTTCCCCCACTGTTCGCCAGTCCAATTGCTCCGCATTTTCCTTCAGTCTCAGAAGTATGGAAAAACACATGGCTCAGGTTTTTCTTTTTCAATTTTATTTTAAAGTTTGAAAATTACAAAGACAGCAAATTCTTCCAGGCACAAATAACTTGTTTACAAATAAAAAGGGCGGGGGAGGGAGACACGCAATTGCGCATTTTTCTATTTTATTAAAAAGAAAAGGGAGAGACGACTGTACAGGTTTTTTCTCCCAGCTCCCGGGTGTGAAACGTTAAGTACTAGCCCTAGATATGTATACATACATATACACACACATCACACAGACCTAGCTCTCTACAACTACTTAGTAATTCAAACTCGACTGCAGTATGTCTTACTGTCCACTCCCCTCCCTCCCCTCCTCCCCCATCTACAACTACTTATAAAAGACTCAGACGTAAAGAGATCGAGAGGTTTTTAAGTGGTGGGCGGCAGGGCTGGAGCCCCACCAGACTGTTAAGCAAAGCCACCTCTTGTACAGGAGGAACCAAAAATCACGGGAAAAGCAAAAAGGTCCTCCTAGGATACAATCCAATTGTGTGGAAAAACCCAAGTTTCAACAGGGCACACTGAGGCACTTGGCTGAATGACTCTCCACCCTTCCCCCAAAGTTTCCACTCCTGTTTAACAGGAGACTTTCGGAAGCCAGAGACCACCCTCCACCCCCACCCGCCACTTCCAGTGGCTAGTTTCCAGCTGACTGAGAGAAACCACAGTTTCTCAGACCAGCTGTCACTTCAAACCCCTCCGCGTCTCTAGGACAATAGGAAGGCCACTGGGGCAGACTTAACAGAAGTGACAAGGAAACTGGATTTGGACGCCCCACTGCTCACCACTGGGAGGTGGAAGCCAGTCTAGAGAGGGTATTTTTTCCACCTCCCTCCTCTGCCCGTCCAGCTGCTGCCACCCCTCTCCTCCGCGCCTAGGTTCTGAAACTCTCACAAGCAGTGCTCAACTTAAAGAAAACTCGATGGCCTCATAGGTATTCCTACAAACCTTACAATTCCTGGGCTCGCTGTCATCTAGCCTCAAGAAGCTGCCTTGCCCATTCTCCCCCTCCCCACGACTTTGACCTTCAGAGTGAACCAGCCATCTAACTAAACAAAACACACAAACCCACCCAAATCCCCAAACCCATAAAGCATATTAGTAACAAATCAACAAAACAAAATATAAGTACATTCTCATCATTACAGAGATGAGATTTGTTGTTGCTGTCCTGGCATGACTGGTTAAGGAAAAATGAATTATTCCCTAATTTCTGAGGAATACAAACTGTCTCTTTATAAAGCCAGAAGGAAAAGGGGCAGATGAGGATCAAGAGAAGAAATGAGAAAAGTATTTACAGAAAATAGGAGACAGGCAGGAGTGTCCACAAGGAAAGCCTCATTGTCACTTCTTCTTGCCGGCCCTCTTGGCACTGGACTTGGCTTTGGGCTTCACTGGTTTGGCCTTCTTAGGCTTGGATGCCTTGACTGGCTTGGCTTTGACAGTCTTGGGTTTTTTGGTTTTCTTGGGCGTGGCAGCCGGCTTCTTCTTGGCCTTCTTGACTGGGGTGGCTTTGGGCTTCTTGCTTGGGGCTTTGGAGGCAGCCTTCTTGGGCTTGGCGGCCTTCTTTGGCGTGGCCACCTTCTTGACTTCCTTCTTCGTCTTCTTGAAGGCCACTGACCTCTTGGGCTCGTCGCTCTTGGCCAGCCGGAAAGACCCCGAGGCACCCACCCCTTTGGTCTGTTTGAGGACCCCAGTGGTGACCAAGCGCTTGATGGACAACTTGATCTGGGAGTCGGCGTTCTCACCCACCTTGTAGTGGCTCTTGATGTACTTCTGGATGGACTGGCGCGAAGAGCCAGCACGGTTCTTCTCCGCCTGGATGGCAGCCACGATCATGTCTGAATACTTGGGGTGGTCTGTGGACTTCTTGGAGGCCTTGGCCCGCTTGGGCTTGGCCGCAGGCGTGGATGTGGAGTTCTCGGTCATGGTGGCCTGCCTGGTCCTGCTGTCGAAGAAGGCACCTTCCAAAGGGCCAGCCCTCGTCGGAAGCCCAGGAAAGCCTGATTCGGGATCTGCTCTGGTGCCTCTGGCTCCCAAGCCAGTCCGAGGCCGTCTCTCGGGAACCTTGCTCGGGTCGCGGGGGGAACTCGCTGGGCCGGGTCTGCGTGGCCCAGCCTCACCGGTCTGTCGGTCGGTCTCGGCGCCCGGGTCTGCCTCCGCCTCCGCCTCCTCTGCCTCCCTTTTCCCAGCTCCGCGTCTGGCGCTCGGGCGGCGCATCCGGGTATTTAGCGGCGGCGGGCGGACCGCGGTGAGGACAGGGCTGCTGGCTGCCTGCTCCCGGCCCGGAATGGCGCCGCGCCGCCGCCATCTGTGTTTCTTCCGCTGAGCAAATCCGACCTTTCCCCCCAGCCCGGGCCTTCCCGCTCCCCGCCGCCGCCCGGGGACGCTGCCTGGCTCTCTGGGCCCCCCCACCGGGCGTCCCGCCGGCCCGGCCGCCGCCCCCCGCGCCCGCCACGCGCCCCAAACGGCGCCAAGGACCGCTGGCGCGCCGACACATTTCCCCTTTGCCGGGGGCTGGCTCTGCGGGGCCGGGGAGCCCAGGTGCGGGAAACACCCCGTAGCAAAGCTCCCCCCTGGGGCTACCGGGGACCCCGCTCCCGGCCCGTGGCGGGACCCCCCAGCCCGGCGGAGCGGCCCGAAAGCGGCCCCAACTAACACACGCGGCCCCGAGCCGGGCGACTCCCAGCCGGGCCGAGCCGGGACAGGGGGGAGGGGTCCCTCCCCCGGGGTCCGGTCACCTCTCGGGGGTCATCCCGCCACCGGGCCCCCCGCACCTCTACCCTCTCTCTGTCCATGGGGCCCCTAAGCAAACTTTCCCTGGAAGAGTTGGAAGGGCACTTTCAAACTTTGTCCCTTCCCCCTCCTCTGTCTTCGCTCCCCCAGCGCGCCCCCTCACCTCTACGTCGAGGTTCTCTCCTGAGACCGAACCCCGAATGCTGCCCGGGTCCCCTGAAGGAATGAGGAGGGGTCTCCGAGCCGCCTCTTCTCCTCAAAAACCCCCACATCCTCCATATGTCCTAACTGAGAATTCATTTATAGTCCTCCCTCAGCCTAGGAGTTTTGGGGTGTCAGAGACAGAGCTCGCTGCCCCTACCCCTAGGGCCCAGCCTGGGGATCCAGTCCCCCTCCCAAGGCTCCCTGAAGGCAGTGAGGGGGGCGGTGAAGGAGCTGCCCCGCAGGCTCTAACCAAAGACTGTCCTGGGGGCCCCTGGGATGAGAAGAGGCCCTGAGAGCTTTGGGAGCTTGGGAGAATGGGGCTCTAGCGGGGAGGTCGAGGAGGGGGTCGCGCTGCTTGAGTCCTGACTAATCCTCGGAAAGTGTGAGTTGTTCAGGGAGTCGTGGCCCGGACCACCGCCATTTTGCTGGGAAGATGCGATGTCTTTGTTAAAATGTATACATCTTTTCCCGTGCTGCTTGGCAGGTATAGATGAGGAAAGCAAGGGGCGCCACCATCTGTAGGGAACCTTGGGAGCTCAGAGGGGCTTTAGCGGTCTAGAGGCCAGCAGATGGGACCCCAGAGTTCCTGGGACCCCTTGTCTGCAACAGACGTCCTACTCACGTGCAAGGTCCCGCAGGGTCCCGCTTGTTAGGGGCCCTGGGTTGAGATTCTAGGATGCTCGCTCTCTGAGCCTCCTCCCACAACAACCCGCTTTTATTCCCTAAGCAAAGAGGCGGCCACTCTTCACTTAAACAATACGCTGGTAGTGGGCGTTTATAGCTGGTCAAAATTATGAAGGCGGCTCTCCTGTACGGTCCCGGAGCTGTTTGCAGACACCAGCCATTGAGGAAGAGGGAGGGGAAGGGTTGGAAGGTTTAGATGGGGGGACTAGTCATAACTGGGAGATGTTGGGGGAAGGGCTCCTACTGGACTTGGGAGTCTCTGAGGCCAGGGAAATTAATGGGTCCCCCCCCCACACACACACACCAAGGGATGGATTAATCCAAATGATTGGGAAAGGGGAGGGGGAGTCCTGAGACTCGGTATCGGTATGGGATGCCTTCTCCCAGGCTTATCTTGGTGTAGCAGGCGGGGAAGAGAAGCCAGGAAGGTCCAGGTTAGTTTAAAAGGTCAACCTTCTTATTTGGATGTTGTCAATTACCCCGAAGTTTCCTGATTTGAAAACAAACCATTCTGGTGGGTTTGTTTTGGTTATTTTCAAAGACAATTCTTCTGGTTCCCACTAAGATCTAGATGGGAAAATAGGCATCCACTTAGCCCCAGGTCCGAGATGTCGTTCCACCCTGTGCTCCCAGAGACATGTCATCCCCGCATCCCAGGTCCCTGGGTGTCTAAAAATAAGGACTGAACGAGTCCAGTGGCACCATGATGAAATAATTTTATTTGCACAGCGCTCTCCACCCGTTTCTTGATCCTTTGCGCCTCCTGCCTGGGGAGGCAGGTAACGCGATCACTCCCCCCATCACCCTCATCTACTGTGGAGGCCACGGGACTAGGAAGGACGGATGGGGGGGCGCACGGCGAGGCGAGGCTCCCGGCGCCCGCAGGCCTTCGCTTCGTTTCGTAGCTCTCACATCCCGAGTCCCCGCCCATCCCAGCAACCTGTAAATTCTCTCCCAGAACTGAAGCCAGAAATGGAGGGAGGGGTCGCCTCGGGGTCTCGGGGGCTTTTACCGCCGGTGGACAGCTCTTCTCCCCGCTGGCGACGAGATTCACCGCCCCTCCCCCCGTTCGGGAGAACTGGAGGGGAAGGGGGTGTTGGGAGGGGTTCCCCGGGAGTTGGGCATAGAGTCCGAGGCTGAGGTGGGCACGAAGAGGACCGGCTGCTTCCAGATTGGCTTGGCCTCACCTCGCCTCGCTGACACTGCAGAGCTCGGGGGGCTTCTTGATTTCGGCCCGGCCCGGTCCGCGTACCCTCGCAGGACGGTCTCGGGTCCCCACCCAGCTTACAGCCGTTTACCGGCCGGCAGACGGCAGAACTCCCTCCGCCCCATTTAACGCGAGCCCTTTAAAAATTCGGGAGCCGCAGAGCTGCGGGCAATTCCTCCTGGGAAATGTAGTCCCCCGATGGCAAGCCCCGCACTGAGACCCTCCTGGGACCCTCTCGAGCCTCGGAACTGCCGGGCCGCCCCAGGCGTGGGGAGGGGGTCAGACATCGCCCGTTCATTCACTTAGGGAGGGGCCCAGGCCTCTGCTGTTTTTTCACTTGTCAAAAGAGCCCTCAGTGTTTTCACCTATCAGAAAGGGGCTCTACCTACCTCTGGGGTTGGTGTGAGGGTGAAATGAAATCCTGTATAGAAAAGCGTAAATCGTACTAGAATGCCAGGGGTCCTGTTTTTACTAATATGCATGTGTGAATGTGTCAGCATTTACTGAGCACATTCAAGTGATATATAACATCTCCATTTTTCAGAGACGATGTCTACGATGACTAAATGACTTGTCCAAGGTGGGTCAACCTGGAGGAAGGAGGGTGACAGGTGACAGACTCCCCAGCCAATGACTTTCCCACTGCAGACATGCATTCATTTTGGTCTTTGGAACTCTAAGGTGTTCACTTGATATGTGCCAGGCACTGGGATAGGCACTGGGATAGGGCTGTGAACAAGAGACAAGAGATCCCTGCCCTTGTGGAGCTGACATTCCAGTGGAGAAGATAGATAACCAATAGACTAAATAAAGAAGTCCAGGGACTTTCCTGGTGGCGCAGTGGTTAGGAATCCGCCTGCCAATGCAGGGGACACGGGTTCGCGCCCTGGTCTGGGATGATCCCACATGCCGCGGAGCAACTAAGCCCATGCACCACAACTACTGAGCCTATGTGCCACAACTACTGAGCCTGCGCTCTAGAGCCCGCAAGCCACAACTACTGAAGCTCACGCACCTAGAGCCTGTGCTTCGCAACAAGAGAAGCCACCACAATGAGAAGCCCGCGCACCACAATGAAGAGTAGCCCCCACTTGCTGCAGCTAGAGAAAGCCCGTGTGCAGCAATGAAGACCCAACTCAGCCAAAAATAAATAAATAAACTTATAAAAGAAATAAAGAAGTCCATTATAGGGACTTCCCTGGTGGTGCAGTGGTTAAGACTCTACACCCCCAATGCAAGGGGCCCGGGTTCGATACCTGGTCCAGGAACTAGATCCCACATGCATGCCGCAACTAAGGAGCCAGCCTGCTGCACCTAGACCCGATGCAACCAAATAAATAAATATTTTTTAAAAAGATAAGCCCGTTATATAGTATGTTGGAAAGCCATAATTGCAAAGACAAAATTAGAGTCGGGTGAGGGTGAGTGCTGAGAGGAGGGTGTTTGCAATTTTAAGTAGAGTCTTCAGAGAAGAAGCTGACATGTGAACAGATTCAAAGGAGGTGAGAGAGGGAGCCATTCTTATTCTTGGCGGAAGAATCTTCCAAGCAGAGGGAACAGCCAGTGCAAAGGCCCTATGGCAGGAGTGTACAGGGTGGCTGAATTAAGGAGGACAGTAGGAAGAGGTGAGGTTTTTTTTGTTTTTTGTTTTTTGTTTTTTTTGTGGTACGCGGGCCTCTCACTGTTGTGGCTTCTCCTGTTGCGGAGCACAGGCTCTGGACGCGCAGGCTCAGCAGCCATGGCTCACGGGCCCAGCCACTCTGCAGCATGTGGGATCTTCCCGGACCGGGACACGAACCTGTGTCCCCTGCATTGGCAGGCGGACTCTCAACCACTGCACCACCAGGGAAGCCCGAGATGAGTTTTTAAAAAGGTAAGGTCTGGGAAGTAAAGGAGGCACAGGTCATGTAGGGTTTGGGGGACCATTGTAGGGACTTTGACTTTTACTCTGAGTGAGGTGGGAGCCATTGGAGAGTTTTGAGCAGAGGTGGGACATGGTGGGACCCAGGCAATAGTTAATCATAGTACTTCCCTGGTGGCGCAGTGGTTAAGAATCCGCCTGCCAATGCAGGGGACACCGTGTCTAGCCCTGGTCCAGGAAGATCCCACATGCTACATAGCAACTAAGGCTGTGCACCACAGCTACTGAGCCTGCACTCTAGAGCCCGCAAGCCACAACTACTGAGCCCACGTGCTGCAACTACTGAAGC